TTTTTTTTTTTTTTTTTCTCCCATCTGTTTCCCTTTGTCAATTCTTTTCAGGACATAGAGGCCAACAATCGGAAGGTTAAAGTTTGTTCAAGATATCAGAATTTTCACCATACAAGATGGAAGAATTTAAGAGTTGGCGATCTCGTTAAAGTTCACAAGGATGAATATTTTCCTGCAGATCTTCTCCTTCTTTCGTCTAGCTACGAAGATGGAATATGCTATGTTGAGACAATGAATCTCGATGGAGAGACTAATCTGAAAGTAAGGCATGCTCTAGATGTCACATCCTCATTAAACGAAGATAATTCCATCCAAAAATTCAAGGCCGTAATTAAATGTGAGGACCCAAATGAAGACCTTTACACCTTCGTTGGTACTCTGTATTATGAGGGTCAACAATATCCTCTCTCTCTTCAACAGTTTCTCTTAAGAGACTCGAAATTGCGAAACACCGAGTATGCATATGGTGTAGTTGTTTTTACGGGCCACGACACTAAAGTCATGCAAAATGCCACTGATCCTCCCTCAAAGAGAAGCAAAATCGAGAAAAGAATGGATCGAATTATATACGTTCTATTTAGCATGTTAATGCTAGTCTCTTTTATCGGGTCTTTCTTTTTCGGTATCAATACAAAAAACGACATAAAAGGAGATGGGAGTTTAAAGCGGTGGTACCTCAGACCGGATGAGACGACTGTTTTTTTCGACCCCGAAAGATCGGCATTGGCTGCATTTTTCCATTTTTTGACGGGGCTTATGCTTTACGGTTATCTCATACCTATATCCTTGTATGTCTCAATCGAGTTAGTAAAAGTTCTGCAGAGCATATTCATTAATCAAGACAGGGATATGTATTTCGATGAAGGGGATAAACCGGCTCGTGCAAGGACTTCGAATTTGAACGAGGAGCTCGGACAGGTGGACACAATTCTTTCTGATAAAACGGGCACTCTCACGTGCAACTCAATGGATTTCGTCAAGTGCACAATAGGCGGAGTAGCTTATGGCCGTGGGATGACCGAAGTAGAAAAGGCACTCGCTAAGCGAAAAAACTATGCGCATGAAAATGATATAGAAAGAATATCAGATAATGATAATGACCGTTTAACGCCTAAGAAAATGGTAAAAAGTTTCAACTTTAGTGACGAGCGTATTATGGATGGTCGGTGGGTTTACGAGCCTCGTGCGGAGACTATTCAGAAGTTCTTTAGAGTGTTGGCACTTTGTCAAACGGCTATTCCCGATTTTGATCAAGAGACTGGTGAAGTCACGTATGAAGCTGAGTCACCAGATGAAGCTGCTTTTGTCATTGCTGCAAGGGAGCTCGGGTTCGAATTCTTTGAGAGAACTCAAAATAGTATATCTTTGCATGAATTGGATCACAAAAGTGGCAGAAAAGTTGAAAGGTGCTGTTTTTTCAGAATCTTCATGTACTCACTCACCTATCAATGCTAGATTTTTTTTTTCTCTTCTACATGGCCCATTCTAGAGATACTGAATCATTTAATACATGCTTGTGGCCTTGAGCTTAAGAGTCCAAACCGTATTTTAACACATTTAATTTATAAAAAGGTCTGTGTGTTTATTGCTTTGCTTATGTACGTTCATTGACTGTATATGGTTTTATATTTTTTTTTACAGATCATATACACTTCTTCATACACTGGAGTTCAGTGCGGCTCGTAAGAGAATGTCAGTGATAGTAAAAAACGCCGAAAATCAGTTGTTGCTCCTGTGCAAGGGCGCGGACAGGTTTCTTTTTTCATTGGACAGCTATTTAAAAATTTTCTGTTTTATAACTGGATCATGAATGTGAGTCTGAACATTAACATACCGTGTTTTTCATGCAGCGTGATGTTTGAAAGGCTTTCAGATGACGTGCAAGATTTTGTAGCTGTAACAAAGGATCATATCAAGAAATATGCTGAAGCAGGGCTACGAACTTTAGTGGTTGCATATCGTGAGCTCAGTGAATCGGAATTTAGGTCATGGGAAGAGGAGTTTTTGTTGGCTCAGACATCCTTAACTGCTGATAGAGATGCATTAGTGGAGGAATGTGCTGATAAGATCGAGAGGAACTTAGTTCTCCTTGGTGCTACAGCCGTCGAGGACAAACTGCAGAAGGGGGTGAGTCGTAAAATCCTAATCTCAAATTTTATATTTACTTTTTTTTTTTTTTCCATCAAGTCTCCCTTGTGTTTTTTGATGATATCCAACCTTGATCTTCTTTTATTATGTATTTTGTCCGTGTGCTATGCAGGTCCCTGAATGCATTTCCAAGCTTGAACATGCTGGAATTAAAATATGGGTTATAACAGGCGATAAGATGGAGACTGCGATAAATATTGGGTAAGATTCTATACGACTCAAATTCCTACTTAAACAACCACCATTTTGGCATGTTAACACTATGGGTGGCTGTGTTTGGTAAGCATATAAGCTAGCTTATAGCTTATTTGATTAGCTTATAAGTTTCCTGCATTCTAATAAACTTGGTTTGGCGGGACGTTGAAAAGCTCGAGCTCATTTCATAAGTTTCCTTGGATAGCTTTTCAAATAAGCCCATTGAAATTTTTATTTCAGTTAATTTTACCACTTTTTTATCATTTAAGCTAGTTTTCCAGCCATAAGTCATAAGCTATGAGCTATAAGCTCAAAATTCATTTAAAAACATAGCTAGGTTTACCAAACATAGTCTATACCTTTTGCTTTTGCAGGTATGCTTGTAGCTTACTCAGAGATGGCATGAGGCAAATAGTAATTACTTTAGACTCGTCCGAGATTAATGAGCTAGAAAAGCATGGAGACAAAGAGGTTATTGCAAAGGTACATATCCTTGTATGTCAATTCTATTTTAGCATCATACCTCTTAATTATTGGTATGTCCATGTTAGGCCTCAAGCACAAGCATAACAAATCAAATCCGGGAAGGAAAACTTCAGTTGAGCTCGTCTGGAGGAAACTCTGCTGCCTTTTGCTTGATAATTGATGGCAAGTCATTGGCATTTGCACTGAACAAGAATCTGGAAGACTCGTTTTTGGATCTTGCAATGAATTGTGCATCTGTCATATGCTGTCGGTCCACGCCTAAACAGAAAGCTCTTGTATGTATTATTAATTATTATTATTACATTAGATAGCTTTCTTTCTTTCTTTCTTTCTTTCTTTCTTTCTTTCTTTCTTTCTTTCTTTCTTTCTTTCTTTCTTTTTTTTTTTTTTTTCTGTCTTCTGTATTTTTAAGACAATGTAATTCAATGTCACTGTTGAAGATTTTCAGGTTACAAGATTGGTTAAAAAGGTCAAGGGCAGGACAACACTAGCTATTGGTGACGGGGCAAATGATGTGGGAATGCTTCAAGAAGCTGATATTGGGGTTGGCATAAGTGGTGTTGAAGGCATGCAGGTAACCTTAACATTTATTCTCATTCGAGGTTTTTCCAGTATTGAGCTTTTAAATTCCAGTTTGGTCCGTTTTATCGTGTACTGCGAGCCATGTTTGTTTACAAAATAATTCAATCACATTCAATTCATACTCAAAATCTAATTCAACTTTAACCCAACCTTATTATCCAACCTTATTATCATTATAATTAAATAATACATACCAATCATTCTTACACATCACATCTATTTTAATACAATGTTCGTCCACTCACATAATTTTAACTATCACTTCACATAATTTCTCTCCTACTTTTACATGAAATCAACTTTGATTACTTTATTTTAACTATTATCTTAATATAAAATCAAAATCTCATAAACAACGAACCATCCAATTTTTTTTCAAAATTAAATCTGGTTAATTGAAAAAACTCATTTTGAGCGGATTTATTTGTAAACAAATTCCTTTTCTCATTTCCTTTGGTGGATATGTGATACCTTTTTTCTTTCTTTCTTTTTAGGCTTCAATGTCGAGTGACTTTGCTATAGCTCAGTTTCGGTTTCTCGAACGACTTTTATTGGTTCACGGCCACTGGTGCTACAGACGAATATCTATGATGGTAAATACTTTCATCTCGTTGAAGATAATATATATAATGCATGTTAATACATGAAAATTTGTTTTTTGTCCCAAGTCACGAGTCGTTCTTTTATTTATTTATTTATCTATTTTGGGTTGTACCTTTCTAAGTTGGAGTTTCTTCTGTTCTGATGCGGCGGATCAAGATATGCTATTTCTTTTACAAGAACATTGCTTTTGGGTTCACTCTATTCTGGTTCGAAGCTCACGCCTCTTTCTCCGGACAACCAGCTTATAACGATTGGTACATGTCGACTTACAACGTGTTCTTTACTTCACTTCCCGTGATCGCACTTGGTGTTTTCGACCAGGATGTTTCTGCTCGACTCTGTCTAAAGGTAACAAATTTCCCTGCCAAAATCTGCCGTAAGAGTATGAATCTAAATTTCTAAAGAACACCACCAAAAAGTGGAAAGTAGTTTCTGATTTCATGAAAAAAAAATAAATAATAACTGGAGAAAGCAAAAACCATTAGGAAAAACCTTAAAACCTCGAAATCCCCAAGAAAACCTCGTGTATTCGTTTGGGATTCTTAAAGACTTTGAGATATTAAGAATCCCGATGTATCTAACTTGGACTTTTCAAGACTTTTATTAAAAGCATCCATATATTCATTTGAGATTTCAAAAAGTTTTGAATAATCACGAAGTGTTCAATTTATTTATCATTTGGATTTGAGAAAGCGAAAACCGTGAAGAAGAACCTTAAAACCTCAAACTCCACAAGAAAAACCCGTGTATTCATTCGGAATTCTAAAGATCTTGAGATTTTAAGGATCGTGAACTGTATTTAACTTGGATTTTTCAACTTTTCAAGACCTTTAAAAGTTTTAGAGATATTCTTTTAAGATTTCAAAAAGTTTTAAATAATCACGAAGTATTCAATTTATTAATCATTTGAATTTGTCTGGATTTCGAACAAAACTTCTACAGATTTCAAAACACAAGAACCATATATAAACGACATTCCACCTCCAGACATAAGATTTTCAAGAAGTCAGCTCTTAAATCTGAAAGCCTTAAAAAGTCTCAGAAGTTCAAAACTCAAATGCCACTCAGTTTTTTTTTTTTAAATGCCACTCAAAATCCCGAAAACTTTTGTCTAGTTGCAAATGCTACTAATTCCGAAGCCTAACCTCAAAGTTCACACTCTCTCTAACTCTCGTAATAAACTTTTGACCCATACAGTACCCGGCCCTATACCGAGAGGGAGTTGACAACATCCTCTTCAGCTGGACCCGCGTGCTCGGCTGGATCTCCAACGGCATTCTCACTTCCATGGTCATCTTCTTCTTCACCACCAAATCGGGCCTCCTTCAGGCCTTCCGCCCGGACGGCCACTTGCTCGATTACGAGGTCCTCGGAGTCCTCATGTACACGTGTGTCGTTTGGGCCGTCAACTGCCAGCTGGCGCTCTCCATCAACTACTTCACTTGGATCCAACACCTCGTCATCTGGGGCAGCACCGCCACCTGGCACGTGTTCCTACTCGTATATGGGTCCATCACGCCTGCTATATCCACCACAGCTTATCGGGTCTTTGTCGAGGCATGCGCTACGTCACCATTCTACTGGCTCGTGACTCTACTTGTGGTCGTGTCGGCCCTGATGCCTTACTATCTCTACAGGGCCTTACAGACGGAGTTTTGCCCGATGGTCCATGATGTGATCCAGAGGATGAGGGCCGAGGGAGGCCCGGCCGCCCCGAATGGGCCTGATGGGGAGAGGGTAATTGTGGAAAGAGTGGGGAAAGAGGAAGATACATTGCTGAGTAAATACTGATGATTATTATTGGTTGGTGCTAAGAGGATTGGGTACAAATTTGTTTTTGTATAGAAACTCTTGTGGTGTGGAGAGAAATTTTTTTAACGTGTATATTGGTTATGATCTAATTTTCGTGTGGTGGATATATATTATATATCCAACTTATCATGACCTACCTTTAGAGATTGGATAGAATGGTGTTATATAAGTGTAACGGTTGATTTTCATATGTTTTCATTCATTAGATTGTGTGATAGGTTTAATTTTAACGGTTATTAGTCATATGTTTTGAACTGATGTGTGTATACTTCGACCGTCAAATGATATACTCTAAAAACAATATAAATGTAAATATGTATTTTTAATTTTTGAAAATATATTGTATATCGATGCATTTTTATTAAAAAATAATATTGCAGATCGATCTGTTTAAATTTTGGGTTGACTCACAATATAAGATGCTGAATGTAAATTTCAACACCAAAAAAAGTGATCTGGACTATATATATAATTTTATATTTTCCATTACATTTGTTTACATAGCATGCATGTTTGGCACGGTGCAATATTTAAAACCATGTAGTCTGTAGAAATTAACCTTAAAAAAATTCACCAGCTTTGAAACGCTGTTTAAAATTATAAAAAAGAATCTCCACTTGAACTTCAATATTATCAACATTGACAGAAATCTTAATTTATTTAGGAGAAATGACAAAAATATTAGCCTAGCTAATATATGCTAATCGAAATCAAAGACATTCAAACTTATTAATTATATAGTAGTGAACGTTTGACTTCGTGATACCGGTGGATTGTGCAGATAAAATTGGACACTGGTGGCAGACGTAAGTCTTAAATATTTTTTTTTTTGGTACAGGGACTTTCCGGTTTCCGGATCCACAGGGGAACCGATTAATTCGGAATCGAGTCGGGTAGGACCATAAGGGCGGCAAAGCTTTCCCTCAAGAATTTTAACACTGCTGCATTTCCAGGGCTCGAACACGAAACCACTGGTTAAGATGGAAGAAACCCAAGCCATCTCATCCAAGCGCTCTTGGGTTAAGTCTTAAATATTTGACAATTCTTTCTAGAAGCACACGTCAATGTGTTGAATATTAGTAAATTTTAAATTCAATGAATTGTTTGATAGTAAACGGTTGCATAATTTAGAAACATGCATTCAAGATCTCGAAGTTTCTAATTAATTATGTCATCAACTACGTATGTATGTATATAGCTTAGATTCATATATAAAATACCATCTAATCTAGTTTCATTTTTCCTATTTTATATGTAACTAGTACCAATAGCCATGTACAACATGGGTGTTGAGTTAATGAATATATGTGTA